GACTGTGCTTCCCAATCTCTCTCTCTCTCTGGAAAAACCAAATAGGAAGAAGAAAAAAGGGGGAAATTGGGGAAAAGAAAAATCAGAATGGGTTCATCGTCAAAGGCGGGGAATAAAGGAGGGAGGAAGATGAAGAAGGAGAAGGAGATTAGCGATCAGACCCTCACTCTCCGCCGCCGTCTCCATGAAGCCCTCTCTCTTGGCATTAGGTTTTCACTCAAAATCTCTTATTCTTCTTCTTCTTCTTCTTCTTTCGATTTCCTCCCTATGCGATTACAATTCCCTTCAGATCACGAAAATTTTGTGATACCTTGGGATTCAATTAGACATTGTTGTGCCCATTGATTTCGGATTGGGAGCTCACCTAACTATTTAGGTCTATAGAGCATGAGCCCTTTAGTTTCGTTCCCATACTGAAAAAATAAAAAGAAAAAAAAAACTACAATTTTGATAACTACTATATAGGTTATGGTGTTTTTTGTTGAACTAATAGATGAGCGGGTTTCTTGAGAAACTGGTTACAGTTGAAGCGTTCTTTTTTTTCAAATTTACCCTTATTACTTTCAGGTGGAATAGCTTTTGGGTTATGTCTATTTCAATGGCTCGAGCGCATCATTGATTTTTTTTTTTTGGAAAATCTCTTCTTTTGCTTTGCAGGCAGATTGAGAACAAAGGAAGAAGATGGCGGTGCACTGATGCTGAGATACAGTCACATTCTCTTCGAGCCATTTCTGCGTTCATTAAATGTATGCCTTCTGTTCCATTACAACATTCTCTTATAAAGGTAAATTTCTCTTCTAATTCTGTTGTGGTTCATGTAACGGATGTTTAGTTGTTTATATCCTCAAGGCTGACTAACATTGTGTAGGATGATTTATAATCATGTTGTGCATGTAATGGAAGAATGTGCATCCACTATGTTCCTTGCTCATCACGCTTGATTTCTCTTCTTAAAATGACAACTGTAACTATCTTGGTCAAGCTTCATGCTACAAAAAGACGGCTGCAAATAATAATTATGAGGGCTGTAACTATCTTGGTTCATGAAGCATAAAGTTCGCTTCGTACATACGTGAACATGTTCATGAAGCATAAAGTTCACTACATACATCCGTGAACATGTTCGTGCTACAAAAAGAAAACTGCAAATAATAATTATGTCAAGCTCCATGCTCAACTTCTATGACTGGCAGTGTGAAACCTTCTGTGCCAATTATTCCTATTATACTGACTTCATGAAGCATTAAGTTCACTTCATACATCCGTGAACATGATCATGCTACAAAAAGACAACTGCAAATAATAATTATGAGAACCGCAACTATCTTGGTCAAGCTCCATGCCCAACTTCTATGACTGGCAGTGTGAAACCTTCTGTGCCAATTATTCCTATTACACTGAGTTCCTGAAGCATAAAGTTCACTCCATACATCCGTGAACATGATCATGCTACAAAAAGACAACTGCAAATAATAATTATGAGAACTGTAACTATCTTGGTCAAGCACCATGCCCAACTTTTATGACTGGCAGTGTGAAACCTTCTTTGCCAATGATTCCTATTAAGAGTATCATCTGCCATTTTATGTCATCAAAGCCATCATTTTTTTGGAACTTTTCGCATGATAGAGCAATAATTTGATTGCCTGATCAGCTAGGTTCTATTAAACAAATCTAGTTGCTCCCTTCTTGGAGCATCCTTAAATGTCCATGACATTTCACCATCACCTTGGTGTAAATCTGTTGTACTCCTTCCACGTCCTAATTTTCTTTCCTTTAAGGCTTTACCATGTAACCATGGCCATTTCAGCATCACCTTGGTGTAAATCTGTTATACACCTTCCCTGTACTAATTTTCTTTCCTTTAAGGCTTTACCATGTAAGCACCTAAACATTCTGATATATGATTGTAACAATTTGTAGAACCCATCACTATTTCATGTAGTTTTCAGGGCATGATCCTTCAAATGACGCTCCAACAGCACCCATGTAATTCATAAGTAGCTTTACTCCTGTTGGGTGTATCTTCATATATATTTTTTAGGGGCGTCTGAGGTAATTCTAAGTTGGCTGGCATGTTATACAACTAATTATGAATTAAAGAGCAAGAAGGGTATGTACAGTGAACAACTGGCTACTTGAAGATTGTTGTAGTATTGGGCACATCATGTTTGTAATTTTTGTTTGTATCTAGCTTATTTTCATACTTGTGAACTGGAAATAAAATTGTCATCCTCATTGAAGCCTGTGAATTGTTAACATTATTTTTCCAAAAGTAGACTGTATGGAGCAGAAGTCTCAACAAATATCCACGTTGAACTTTATTAAATTTCTGATGTTTAACTGTTAGAATTCTTTTCACTCTTCCAGGAATCTGTCCCAGATATGCTGCTAGCCTTAGGAGGGATACTTCAGTCAGAAAATGAGAGCATCTTGTGCCTAGCAGTAGATCTGACGATGGAATTAGTTTGCAGTTTAGGGAAATCCATATGCCAGTATCACGTGCTAGATATCCTTATGTCCTTGTCATGCTTGTTGCCAACATATAAAGTATCTGTTGTGGTTTCATGTGCAACTGCACTGAATCGCATATTGACAAACCTAGGGGCAATGAGTTACCAATACAGTGAGGAAGTTTGTGAAGTGATTGTGAAAACTAATTTGGTTCGCAGTGTTATCTGTGTTATGCAAGGTTATGGAGATGGAAGTCAACCAGTTGAATACTTCTCAGAGACGGCATGCCTTCTTAAGACAATAATTTGGAGGTGGCCGTCCTTTAGGTATCATGTTTGGAGTAATTCTAAATTGATGGACGTACTGCAAGGGATTAGTGCTAGAAATGACACTTTAAATACTCGTAGAGTTCTACAATTATGTTCTGCTCTAGGTATCATTCTAGTGGTAATTCTCTCTATCAATTCATAGAAAGATTTAATAACTTTTCCCTTTCTTTATGCCATCTTTAGCATAACAAGACTGCTATTCTTTTGTTCCAGCTCTTTGTGGTAATGGAGCGAGGAAGATTTTAGAAAATGAGGAGCTTGTTTCCAAGATTGTAGGATGCACAGGAACTTCACATTTAGACAGTGTCAGACTTGAGGCTCTAAAACTTTGCCAGCACCTGACGGTATGGATCGTTATCTGAATTTATGTATCATTCTAGGTTTTTCCATTTCCTTTTACTTTTCAATTTTTTCCATTTTTCTGTAGCTTCTCTGGTAACTAATTGATGGGTGTCATCTTGCTTTGTGTGTCTTTGCAGAGGTCTGCAGAAGTATCTTCTCTGCTGACTGATTCGTACTCTGAGCAGATTGTTCAAGGAATTATCGGTGCATTGGGTGGATGGAGATCATGTTCCAAAATTGTTCCTACTGATCAGATACCTTTAGTGATGGAGGCATTTCGTGCTGCATTGATAACTCGTTGGGCTGGGAATCATCATTTTTTTTTCTGGAGCAATGAGATTGATAGAGCCCTTCTTGATAATCTTATTGGTAACTGTAGCAGAAGCGACCAAACTCGAGGAATGGTTTTATGTGATGAACTAATAGCTAAAGTGTATGATAACATTACAAACACAAGACCATTCATATGGGATATTCTTGGGTGGCTTGCAGCATACTGCGAGGAAGATTTTGTCCCTAAAACTACAGGGAAACTTTGTTGTCTAGATGTTCTTATTTTCTGTGCATGGTAAACTTCTAAGTTTCCTTCTTCTTCTTCTAATGATGTGCATGGAATATACTATTTGAGTTATTTTGAACTGATGAAAATTTGTCCAATATTAGTGCAGTGGCCAAGGATTTGATGCTTAAAAGGCGGAGTTCCTTTTCTCCTGATATTTCTGAGGCTGAACCTGTAGCTAGGGCGGTTCTGATGCTGGTCACGTCACCCTCAAGGTACATTGCATTAAAATCAAAATCTTGGCTCTTTGAGATGGCCAGACCTTATGGCAATGATGGTTTAGAGAGTTTTCTGCTCTTCCTAAAGCTAATTGCTGGTGGAGATGTCCCTCTGGTGTCCGACAATCTTCAAACTGCAATAAATCTTATAGGCTTCGCTTGCTATTCAGCTTTACCTGATTTTCAGAAGACGATTGTCAAGAAGAAAGGTTTGCAAATGATATCTGACATTATAGAAAGATGTTTGAAAAGTGATATACATGTTAGTCGCTCTACCATTGTTTCTCATCTACGTAGCATTCCAGAAGAAAAAACATGCTGCTGGAATCATGTAGGAGACTGGGAAGGTGGAGATGTTATTTTATTTTACTGTCTCCAAGCTCTTTCTCAGTTGATATCGTTCTCAATGTTAGAGTGCAATCAGCATGAGATAACTTCAGAGGAGGTTGTTGTCTCTGATGCTGATGGTCTGGTTGAGAAGCTTCAGTTCATATTGCATAGCAACTCTAGCCAGGGACCGAAGCGGTATGCTGCTTACATCTTAAGCTTCTTTGGTTCCTTTGGCACCCAAAGCAAGCTTGGACAAAAGATGGAGAGAGCTCTTAATGAGAACGAGCTAGCTGACTTGCAATTTGTGTTATCAAATGGTCAATCTTTGAGGGTTCATAGTGTCATTCTCTGGGCTAGGTGTCCAGATCTGCTTCCCAAAGAAACTTCTTTGAAGGATGAGCAAGAGTCTGAACAGAACCCAAGAACAAGGCAGGAAGTTCGCATGTCTGATCGGGTGGACTACTATTCACTTATAAAGATTCTTGAGTATACTTATACTGGGTTTCTCCGATTAGAAGAAGATCATCTGAAGCCCTTAAAAATTCTTGCAAACTGCTGTCGTTTGAAGTCTCTATCGCTTATGCTTCATCGGAAATTGCCAACATGGGGTTCTTCCAGTCCAAGTTGTGATTTCACTAAAGCACTTGAACCCACTGAAAGTTCATGTTTGTAAGTTCATTTTTATTACCGTGACAATTCTTTGTTTTTTTAGATGACATTCAATAAAATCAATTTTTTAATTCAGTCAGCAAGTAAGTGTTTTATTGTTTTTTTTTTCTTGGACTTGCCATTTGATGCATTTCTAGTTATAATTCCAGCATATTGAGTTGCCGTTGTTTTCTGTAGCTTCCTGTGATAAACATTACTGTGTATTACAGTGACATCATCTTGGAAGCAGAGGGGAGCGGAGGGGCCTGGGATTGTAGTATATGCCAGTTATCAAGGCCACACGTCCATGCTCACAAAATTATATTGTGGGCCAATTGCAATTATCTACAGGCATTGTTCCGGTCAGGAATGCATGAGAGGTAAATACTGAAAGAAATTATAGAAATATTCTTAATCACTTGTTTAATGAACTGCACAAAAGGTAAATGATTTAGCATATGTTAGCGGGTAAAGTATATGAGATTTACTTCTTGCATTTCTGAATTGAGGCATCTAATATCTTTCATGTATGAAGCATATGAGCTGTATCCTTGTATCCATCTGCGCACTTCCATAACTCCATAATAGTTACATGCTCTTAGTGCAACCTCTATGAGGCAATAAGCGTCTTTTCATAATTGTCCCCATAGCTTGAGCAGTCGCGCATTATGTATGCATTATTCAGCTCTTTCTTTTTGTTTGCTTGAGAAATGAGATACTTACGCAAAATAATTATTACCTACTTCTTATAGGAGTCCCTTTAAAAACCTTGTAAGTGGGTATGCACATCTATCGTATTGACTGACACAGAAATTTTACATAGGCCTTCATTTTCTATATTCACACTGAGTAGTATCTGTTAGCACATTATTGTTAGTTTTACAAGTATGCGTGTTTCACTTGACATTAAGAGACATTAGAGGCTATAAATTTAAGCGACACTATGTCTAAGTGCTCACCTAATGTTAATGTTCGAAATCCTCCAAAACTTACCGTCTTGGTGGAATTTCTCTCTTTGCAGTTACTCACAGATCATCAAGGTTCCTGTTGGTTGGATTGCTCTGACCAAACTAGTTAACTATTTCTATTCGGGGAAGCTACTAAGGATTGAAACCGACTGCACGTGGAAGAATATGGACAAAAATCAGCAATTGTTGCAACTTCAGGCCTATGTAGAACTTTCTTCGTTGGCTGAATTCTGGCTCTTAGAAGAAGTTGGAGATGAGAGCTTAGATATTATTTTCTCATGCCTGGAAGCAGACCAGAAAATATCAGCTGATATCATTCATTATGCAGCCAAACTCAGCCAATGGAAAATAGTTGAAGTGGGTGTGAGTAGCATTGCCCATCTATATCCCAAGATGCGCCATGCCGGAGATCTCGAAAAGCTCAGTGAGGAAGTGGTTGAGATGTTGAGAACTGAATATGTTCGGTATTCGCAAAAGGGATCTTGAGAGGGTTTGTAGATTCCGGAGATAAATCTTTAGAGAAGTTGCCTACTTTAAAGTCATCACATACTGAAGTCCCTCAAGCTGGGGAAGTGTACCTCTGGTTTTTCCATACAAGCTATGTAATTAGTATCATGTAAACTTTTTGTGCATTTGTTTGCTTGAAACCTTATCGTATCAGAAACAAATTAAAGTGCTACAAAATGTAATTAAGGAGCGTGAAACATTCTTTACTTGATACAAATCTTGCATTTTTCTTTTCTTTCTTTCCTTTTGACTGTCTTGTTGGTGGCGCATAATTTTGCTTTGTATGGTAACTGATTTTTCTAACAAATGGGATTTGGTAAATTTGTAGTTGCAACTCTCTCTCTCTCTCTCTCTCTCTCTCTCTCTCTCTCTCTCTCTTTTCTTTCCAACCTGTGCTTAAATCGCGTGCGTTTGTTTTGTGGGCTTGTGGGTGAAAATTTGTATCTTTAATCCGAGCTTGGTCAATTGGTTATTTCATCTTATGAACTACTAACATGGCCGAATCCCTGTTAAAAATTTAATAGGGAAAAATGGAATTGTAAATAAATAATCAGAAAACTCCGTCAACTAAATAGTAAGAGCCTGTTTGGATTTGTAGGGGGTGAAGGGAAGTTAAGAGAAACTAGGTGAGAGAATGAAAGTGAAGGGAATGGAGTTCTCTTCCCCTTGGTTACACCCCAATTTGGGGGGTAACAAATTTTATACTATTAGGGGGTGAACCAAGAGGAACTAGGGTGAATAACTTCACCTCCTAAATGTTCCCAAACAAGGTGAATGGAGGTGAATGGTTCCCCTAACTTCCCTTCACCCTTATTCTCCTCAATCCAAACAAGCCCTAAGATAAATAATCAGGAGAAAGTAAAAGTTGTAAATAGATAACTGGAGAATGAATTAGTAATCCAAAATCTATGTTGATGCTGAGTCGGTTTACTAAGGCCTAAGATTTCGGCCATGGGCTTTTTCTTTATTTCTTCCCTCTTCTCTTTTTGTTTATCTTTTCTCTACTATTTCGCCCTCATCTCTTTCTTTGCTTGCTTTCAAGGCTTTTAACACACACGCCGCCAGCCACCGACCCATTTCTTATATCTGTACCTTATTTCTCTCTCTCTCTTTCTCCCTCTCCCTTGTTTGGGTTTGAGGCGAAATTGATTGACGGAGCCCAACCGAAATCGCCTTCTGGGTCCTGCAACTTTCCCTATTTGGGAATCTGGGTCGATCTCGATTTGGCTGATTTTTCGAGGGATTTGGGTGTTTCTTTAGTTGGCTCTTTAGATCCCCCAAAACCCCTCTTTAGATCATAACTAGCCTTAAGGTTAGAACTTTGGAAATCTTTTGGCGATTTCATTCCACTGTAGTTATTTATCTGGGTCTTGTTGATTATTTACTGTCTGATTGCCAGTTAGTGATTAATTTTTTAAGATTACTTTGCTAATTACTTTGATTGAAAAAAAAAACTTTTTGTGCATTTGTTTGCTTGAAACCTTATCGTATCAGAAACAAATTAAAGTGCTACAAAATGTAATTAAGGAGCGTGAAACATTCTTTACTTGATACAAATCTTGCATTTTTCTTTTCTTTCTTTCCTTTTGACTGTCTTGTTGGTGGCGCATAATTTTGCTTTGTATGGTAACTGATTTTTCTAACAAATGGGATTTGGTAAATTTGTAGTTGCAACTCTCTCTCTCTCTCTCTCTCTCTCTCTCTCTCTCTCTCTCTCTTTTCTTTCCAACCTGTGCTTAAATCGCGTGCGTTTGTTTTGTGGGCTTGTGGGTGAAAATTTGTATCTTTAATCCGAGCTTGGTCAATTGGTTATTTCATCTTATGAACTACTAACATGGCCGAATCCCTGTTAAAAATTTAATAGGGAAAAATGGAATTGTAAATAAATAATCAGAAAACTCCGTCAACTAAATAGTAAGAGCCTGTTTGGATTTGTAGGGGGTGAAGGGAAGTTAAGAGAAACTAGGTGAGAGAATGAAAGTGAAGGGAATGGAGTTCTCTTCCCCTTGGTTACACCCCAATTTGGGGGGTAACAAATTTTATACTATTAGGGGGTGAACCAAGAGGAACTAGGGTGAATAACTTCACCTCCTAAATGTTCCCAAACAAGGTGAATGGAGGTGAATGGTTCCCCTAACTTCCCTTCACCCTTATTCTCCTCAATCCAAACAAGCCCTAAGATAAATAATCAGGAGAAAGTAAAAGTTGTAAATAGATAACTGGAGAATGAATTAGTAATCCAAAATCTATGTTGATGCTGAGTCGGTTTACTAAGGCCTAAGATTTCGGCCATGGGCTTTTTCTTTATTTCTTCCCTCTTCTCTTTTTGTTTATCTTTTCTCTACTATTTCGCCCTCATCTCTTTCTTTGCTTGCTTTCAAGGCTTTTAACACACACGCCGCCAGCCACCGACCCATTTCTTATATCTGTACCTTATTTCTCTCTCTCTCTTTCTCCCTCTCCCTTGTTTGGGTTTGAGGCGAAATTGATTGACGGAGCCCAACCGAAATCGCCTTCTGGGTCCTGCAACTTTCCCTATTTGGGAATCTGGGTCGATCTCGATTTGGCTGATTTTTCGAGGGATTTGGGTGTTTCTTTAGTTGGCTCTTTAGATCCCCCAAAACCCCTCTTTAGATCATAACTAGCCTTAAGGTTAGAACTTTGGAAATCTTTTGGCGATTTCATTCCACTGTAGTTATTTATCTGGGTCTTGTTGATTATTTACTGTCTGATTGCCAGTTAGTGATTAATTTTTTAAGATTACTTTGCTAATTACTTTGATTGAAAAAAATGAACAGTTCGATTGGTTGCGTCCATGAGGATTTTATTTTGTTTTCACAATTACTCTGATAGAAATTGAACAGGTATCTCCGAGTTACAGTGAAAGAGTCTTGGCGCATTAGATTTACTATGGAGTTTATCATTCCAACGCAATGATATGTTTAATGGCACTGTTATCACGAGCACTTAGAATTTCTGGCATCATTTGTAGGTTGGTTTGTATTTGTAGTAGTTCTATCATGCCCAACTTAGAAAAATATAAAGCAAGTTTTAGGAAATGATTCTATAGTTCAGAAACCCACTTGTTTTTCCCTTTTGTTTTTTTAACATTCAACTATAACATTGTAATATTTTTTTGGTAATGGCTAAAATATAACGTAGGTGTTAGGAAATGAATCCATAGTTCAGAAATCCATTGTTTTTTTAGAAAATATTCAACTATAATAACACTGTAAGATTTTGGTCCTTGCTTGTCTTTTTTTTTAATTGAGGCTTTAGAACATGCAGATGTAGAAGCTTTGTACTCACATCCCTGGCATCTTTATGATCTGAGAATGAGATACAGATTTCAAAATTTTCTAATTAATTATTTTATTCTTAGAAAAATAAGAGGATTTAATAATGCACGTCTTCTCTATTACTGGGTAACAATTTTTTAACAACTGCAAGTTACAAATTTCAGAAGTTCTTTCTAAGAGAAAGGGGGAGAGTTTACATAATTTGTATATTTTTGGTTGTGAACATTATTTAGGGAAATAAACTTGAAGAATACCGTCATTTTACAATGTGCGTGCTATGTTGTGTTTCTCTTTTCCCTTGGAAGACATTGTGTTGTTTATTTAGTGGTAACTGCCTTTTGGCTTTATAGAAAAGAGAAATTTAACTGCATTTATAATCCAACCATCTGGGTACTGAACTAGCTAGTTGTTGCTAATAGAATGTATTCAATGTCTTACATTCAATTCAAGAAAATTGCCTTATATCTTCATTGAATTTGCTACAGGTACTCCGACCCTTTTAAAACGACTAATTTCTAGTGTGGCGAAATATATATGGGCTGATCGTGGCATTTCATGGGAGGTGTAGACGATGATGAACCACCCTCAAAACGTGTGAAAGCATCCTCACTTGACTTGGAGAGCCTCTCAGATAAATCAACTCTCTCAGAGCCCATCATTCCTTTGGGAGGATCAATGGCCAGACCGTTACCATCCCAAGGGAACGAGGATATTATTGGTACTAAAGGAGTTATTAGAAAAGTTGAATTTGTTAGGATCATCACCAAGGCTCTTTACTCACTTGGTTATGAGAAAAGCGGAGCTGTATTGGAGGAAGAGTCGGGAATCAGCTTGCATTCTCCTACAGTGGATCTCCTCAGGAATCACGTGCTTGATGGTAACTGGGATGAAAGTCTGATTGCTTTGCGTAAAATAGGACTTGTGGATGAAAATATTCTTAAATCTGCATCTTTTCTGTTACTGGAACACAAGTTCTTCGAATTTCTAGAGAGGGACCAAGTCATGGATGCATTGAAGACTCTGAGAAATGAAATTACTCCTCTTGGCATAAACAAAAAACAAACGCACGAGCTTTCCAGTTGTATTGTTTCTCCTTCACAACGGGTCTTACTTGGTTTTGCTAACCTGGGCATTGATACATCAAACTCACGATTGAAGCTTCTGGAGGAATTACAGAAATTGCTTCCTCCCACTATTATGATACCTGAGAGAAGGCTTGAGCATTTGGTGGAACAAGCACTAAATGTGCAACGAGAAGCTTGCTATTTCCACAATTCCTTGGAGTCATTGTCTTTATACACTGATCATAGCTGTGGAAAAGACCAGATTCCTTCTCGGACCAGACAGGTTACAAGTCTTCATGTTTAATTATTCTTAATTTTTAATTGATGAATAAATTTGTAAAAGCTATTCTTTTCTACTTTTGTCAATTTTGGTTGTTAGCTGGAGTATGATAACAATTATCTGCTCTGTGGTTCTGTCTTATGAATAAATGCTGGGCTTGGTTGAGATAGTGAACCAACTACTTCTGATACTTAAGCACAAGGAAGCTAATCAATAGTCATTGTCGGTTTAAAGCCATGAGTGGCAGAGGTGTAGGATTTTGTACTACAACAATCAGCAACTATGTCTTCTCTGACCGTTCGAATGATACCCTTGTCCTAATTACATTTGTAGTCTTTTGCATATTTTGGTTAGGTTTTGCTTCATATGGATAGAATGTTAAAGTTTGCTGCTGGCTAGCTAATGAAACCTCTCCCCTTGTTTGGGCTCTGTCTGGCAGCAAGCAAAGTCAAGAGTCCTTTCATGTTGGGGTGATAGCTATTTATTTCAGTTTAGGGTTTCTTCACTTCAATATTTGTTTCATGTGATATATAACTTTTCTTTAAATGCGTGAATCCATTTACTATGGCAGCTTATTTTCCTTAATCATGTAGTGTAATACATGCTAGTTTCTGTCTATCTTTTGTGTTTACTCAACTAATGTACAGGTTCGATCATTCATGTTTCGGAGAAGACTAGCAAGCTACTGTATATCTATATAGTGCATGAAGCAATATAAAATACATATTTTCAATTAGGCTGAGCTGTATGATTACTATTATGCATCCATGTTCGAATCATACGTATGTCTGTATGAGGATAATAATATTAAGGCTTTAGAGTTAAATCCATCCACAATGACAATGGTGTTAGGTTAAGCTTGAGGAGGAATCAGGTTAATGAAGTAAATTTTGTTGTTAGTGGTGAACACGGGGAAAATTTGGAGTATTAATCAATTATTGAGAGCAGTAAGCTCCTTTTGTTATCGAAATCTCTAGAGGATAGTCCAATAAGGTTATCTGATAAATAGAGGAGGTGTGGTTGTATAGATTCATATTACTTGACCTACTATAAATATCTGTAGCATTAAAATGAGCTTATGCATCATCTGATGTGGATGTTTACATGATTAAAAGATATTAATGACAGAACCTATGTATGCTTAGTTTAGTGACAAATTGTTAATTGATACTTTTTTGTTGACGTAATTAATGTTTGTTATATGTTAAAAATTCAGAATCTATCATGTGTACCTCTTAATATCTATTTGAACCTTCCTTTCCATTAATTAATTTTATTATTCATGTTGGATAGGTACTGCAATCACACAGAAATGAAGTATGGTACCTACAATTCTCAAATACTGGGAAATATTTAGCATCAGCATCAAATGACAAGTCTGCAATCATATGGGAGGTAATTCTATTGTATGATTGTTTATGGAAAGCGTCTCTTCCTATGCCCTTGTTTGCTGATCTTGTTGGTAATTGATTTTTCCGCTCATCTTATTGAGCCCTTAATTATAAATGAATTTATTTATGTCCATTTTCTATCTTTGTGTTTAATGACAATTTTTTTCCTTCTCTGCCCATCAATATGTGATAAATATTAAAAGAAAGCTTTCTAGGAGGACCCAAGTGTATCCTTTCTATCCCGGTATTTTAGTCCTGAGTTGTATTCTTCATATATTTTACTCCTGTAAAGGTACAACTTGTTGTAGCTTGTTTTATCTTCAATGTGAAAGGAATGTCACCTTGTGACAAGATGCAATTTTATCAGCTTTCTTCTTAACCCTGTTTGCTTTTTTGATCGATGAAATCTAAAATATACCGTCTAGTCTCAAAAAAATTCTTGGAGATTAGAATTTGGTGAAACTTGTAAAACAATAGATTTAGTCCTTAGAGGGAAGGGTGAATAGGATTCTTTTGCAACTAAAAGATAATGCTAAAATGTCCCTTTTTAGGACAGTGATAAGTGCTTGTAAAGCAATGACACAGCTGGTAGAAATTTGGTTAGGAAGAATATGTATTGTTAATCAGAGTACAGTATATAAAATTGGCAAGTGCTGTTATATAAGATATGAGAAATATAATAGATTGAATAGACAGAGATAGAGCCAGTTCCACAGATGATATGAAGATGTATAGAGGTTTGACACCGAGATGTATATTGTTATTGGGCACCTTACTGCCAAATGCCTCACCCAAAATTTCTACATTCAAGCTTCTAACCGATGCTAATCCCCAGACTTGCCAATTCTTCTGCCACCCAAGAGGTTGAACATGACCACTTTTCCCACTTAAAGGCATCTTGATACAAAGATGCATGAAATTTTTGCTATCTTTTGGTTCTCTTTCGTCAGCCTTACTGCAAATGAACCAGCCTTGAGAAGAAAAGTGCTGAACCAAAGAGAGATTATCTCTCTCTCTCTTCTCCCTCTCCTTGGGTTTGAGGCGAATTGATTGACGGAGCCCAACCGAAATCGCCTCTGGTCCTGCAACTTCCCTATTTGGGAATTCTGGGTCTACTCGATTTGGCTGATTTTCGAGGGATTTGGTGTTTCTTTAGTTGGCTCTTTAGATCCCCCAAAACCCTCTTTGACATCATAACTAGCCTTAAGGTTGAACTTTGAAATCTTTTGGCGATTTCATTCACTGTAAGTTATTTATCTGGGTCTTGTTGATTATTTACTGTCTGATTGCCAGTTAAGTGATTTAATTTTTAGAATTACTTTGCTAATTACTTTTGATTGAAAAAAATGAACAGTTCGATTGGTTGCGTCCATGAGGATTTATTTTGTTTTCACAATTACTCTGATAGAAATTGAACAGGTATCTCCGAGTTACAGTGAAGAGTCTTGGCGCATTAGATTCTATTTGATTATCTATTCAACGATGTATGATTATAAGTTAGGCACTTGTTATCACCGAGCACTTAGAATTTCTGGCATCATTTGTATGGTGGTTTTGTATTTGTAGTAGTTCTATCATGCCCAACTTAAAAAATATAAAGCAAGTTTTAGGAAATGATTCTATAGTTCTCAGAACCCACTTGTTTTTCCCTTTTGTTTTTTTAACATTCAACTATAACATTGTAAATATTTTTTTGGTAATGGCTAAAATATATACGTAGGGTTAGAAATGAATCCATAGTTTCGAAATCCATTGTTTTTTTAGAAAATATTCAATCTATAATAACACTGGTAAGATTTTGGTCCTTGCTTGTCTTTTTTTTTATTGAGGCTTTAGAACATGCAGATGTAGAAGCTTGTACTCACATCCCTGGCATCTTATTGATCTGAGAATGAGATACAGATTCAAAATTTTCTAATTAATTATTTTATTCTTAGAAAATAAAGGATTTAATAATGCAGTCTTCTCTATTACTGGTAACAATTTTTAACAACTGCAAGTTACAAATTTCAGAAGTTCTTTCTAAGAGAAAGTGGGAGAGTTACATAATTTGTATATTTTTTGGTTGTAAACATTATTTAGGGAAATAAACTTGAAGAATACGTCATTTTACAATGTGCGTGCTATGTTGTGTTTCTCTTTTCCCTGAGAGACATTGTGTTGTTTATTTAGTGGTAACTGCCTTTTGGCTTTATAGAAAAGAGAATTTAACTGCATTTATAATCCAACCATTCGTGGACTGAACTAGCTAGTTTGTGCTAATAGAATGTATTCAATGTCTTACATCAATTCAAGAAATTGCCTTATATTCATTGAATTTGCTACAGGTACTCCGACCCTTTTAAAACGACTAATTTCTTAGTGGCGAAATATATATGGGCTGATCGTGGCATTTCATGGAGGTGTAGACGATGATGAACCACCCTCAAAACGTGTGAAAGCATCCTCACTTGACTTGGAGAGCCTCTCAATAAATCAACTCTCTCAGAGCCCATCATTCCTTTGGGAGGATCAATGGCCAGACCGTTACCATCCAAGGGAACGAGGATATTATTGGTACTAAAGGAGTTATTAGAAAAGTTGAATTTGTTAGGATCATCACCAAGGCTCTTTACTCACTTGGTTATGAGAAAAGCGGAGCTGTATGGAGAGAAGAGTCGGGAATCAGCTTGCATTCTCCTACAGTGGATCTCCTCAGGAATCACTGCTTGATGGTAACTGGGATGAAAGTCTGATTGCTTTGCGTAAAATAGGACTTGTGGATGAAAATATCTTAAATCTGCATCTTTTCTGTTACTGGAACAACAAGTTCTTGAATTTCTAGAGAGGGACCAAGTCATGGATGCATTGAAGACTCTGAGAAATGAAATTACTCCTCTTGCATAAACAAAAAACAAACCACGAGCTTTCCAGTTGTATTGTTTCTCCTTCACAACGGGTCTTACTTGGTTTTGCCTAACCTGGGCATTGATACATCAAACTCACGATTGACGCTTCTGGAGGAATTACAGAAATTGCTTCCTCCCACTATTATGATACCTGAGAGAAGGCTTGAGCATTTGGTGGAACAAGCACTAAATGTGCAACGAGCAGCTTGCTATTTCCACAATTCCTTGGAGTCATTGTCTTTATAACACTGATCATAGCTGATGAAAGACCAGATTCCTTCTCGGACCAGACAGGTTACAGTCTTCATGTTTAATATTCTTAATTTTTAATTATGAATAAATTTGTAAAAGCTATTCTTTTCTACTTTTGCAATTTGGTTGTTAGCTGGAGTATGATAACAATTATCTGCCTGTGGTTCTGTCTTATGAATAAATGCTGGGCTGTGTTGAGATAGTGAACCAACTACTTCTGATACTTAAGCACAAGGAAGCTAATCAATATCATTGTCGGTTTAAAGCCATGAGTGCAGAGGTGTAGGATTTTGTACTACAACAATCAGCAACTATGTCTTCTCTGACCGTTCGAATGATACCCTTGTCCTAATTACATTTGTAGTTCTTTGCATCATTTTGGTTAGGTTTTGCTTCATATGGATAGATGTTAAAGTTTGCTGCTGGCTAGCTAATGAAACCTCTCCCTTGTTTGGGCTCTGTCTGGCAACGCAAAGTCAAGAGTCCTTTCATGTTGGGGTGATAGCTATTTTATTCAGTTTAGGGTTCTTCACTTCAATATTTGTTTCATGTGATATATAACTTTTCTTTAAATGCGTGAATCCATTTACTATGGCAGCTTATTTTCCTTAATCATGTAGTGTAATACATGCTAGTTTCTGTCTATCTTTTGGTTTACTCAACTAATGTACAGGTTCGATCATTCATGTTTCGGAGAAGACTAGCAAGCTACTGTATATCTATATATGGCATGAAGCAATATAAAATACATATTTTCAATTAGGCTGAGCTGTATGATTACTATTATGCATCCATGTTCGAATCATACGTATGTCTGTATGAGGATAATAATATTAAGGCTTTAGAGTAAATCCATCACAATGACAAGTGTAGTTAGCTTGAGGAGGAATCAGGTTAATGAAGTAAATTTTGTTGTTAGTGTGAACACGGGGAAATTTGGAGTATTAATCAATTTGAGAGCAGTAAGCTCCTTTGTTATCGAAATCTCTAGAGGTAGTCCAATAAGGTTATCTGATAAATAGAGGAGGTGTGGTTGTATAGATTCATATTACTTGACCTACTATAAATATCTGTAAGCATTAAAATGAGCTTATGCTCATCTGATGTGGATGTTTACATGATTAAAAGATATTAATGACAGAACGATGTATGCTTAGTTTAGTGACAAATTGTAATTGATACTTTTTTGTTGACGTAATTAATGTTTGTTATATGTTTAAAAATTCAGAATCTATCATGTGTACCTCTTAATATCTATTTGAACCTTCCTTTCCATTATTAATTTTATTATTCATGTTGGATTAGGTACTGCAATCACACAGAAATGAAGTATGGTACCTACAATTCTCAAATACTGGAATATTTAGCATCAGCATCAAATGACAAGTCTGCAATCATATGGAGGTAATTCTATTGTATGATTGTTTATGGAAAGCGTCTCTTCCTATGCCCTTGTTTGACGCTTGTTGGTAATTGATTTTTCCGCTCATCTTATTGAGCCCTTAATTATAAATGAATTTATTATGTCCATTTTCTATCTTGTGTTTAATGACAATTTTTTTCCTTCTCTGCCATCAATATGTGATAAATATTAAAAGAAAGCTTTCTAGGAGGACCCAAGTGTATCCTTTCTATCCCGGTATTTTAGTCCTGAGTTGTATTCTTCATATATTTACTCCTGTAAAGCTACAACTTGTTGTAGCTTGTTTTATCTTCAATGTGAAAGGAATGTCACCTGTGACAAGATGCAATTTTATCAGCTTTCTTCTTAACCCTGTTTGCTTTTTGGATCGATGAAATCTAAAATATACCGTCTAGTCTCAAAAAAATTCTTGAGATTAGAATTTGGTGAAACTTGTAAAACAATAGATTTAGTCCTTAGAGGAAGGTGAATAGGATTCTTTTGCACAACTAAAAGATAATGCTAAAATGTCCCTTTTTAGGACAGTGATAAGTGCTTGTAAAGCAATGACACAGCTGGTAGAAATTTGGTTAGGAAGAATATGTATTGTTAATCAGAGTACAGTATATAAATTGGCAAGTGCTGTTTATATAAGATATGAGAAATATAATAGATTGAATAGACAGAGATAGAGCCAGTTCCCAGATGATATGAAGATGTATAGAGGTTTGACACCGAGATGTATATATGTTATTGGGCACCTACTGCCAAATGCCTCACCCAAAATTTCTACATTCAAGCTTCTAACCGATGCTAATCCCCAGACTTGCCAATTCTTCTGCCACCAAGAGGTTGAACATGACCACTTTTCCCACTTAAAGGCATCTTGATACAAAGATGCATGAAATTTTTGCTACTTTTGGTTCTCTTTCGTCAGCCTTACTGCAAATGAACCAGCCTTGAGAAGAAAAGTGCTGAACCGTTGAACTGCACACATAAAACCATAGATCGCTTTATGTAACTTGCACACATAGTGAGGACGAGAAGGATCTTACCATGGTATCTTTTAATTACAAAAGAATCAAGAACAAGCACTCCCACAAATTATAATCCTAATTCAACTTATAATTTTAGCTTGCACAATACAATCTTCTTTCAGTTCTTGTTAAAATGACCACCAACTTTTAAGAAGCACATGTTAATTCTGTAAAGGGCTAAATTGCACCTGAATGCCCTATAGCTTCAACAATATCGCACTTTAGTACATCTTAAAACCGTTCACTTGAATGCCTCAAAAGTATTTATGTGTTATAGATAAATGCCTCTAAGTTTCAAAATGTTGCATGTTGATGCCCTCTTGTTTTCCCCATGTTTGTTTACTCAATGTTGCATATACATCCCCTCAGTTTGTAAATAACCTCACTTAAATACCTGAAAGTTTCTAGAAGTTTCTGTGTAGTACCATCACATTCTTGGATACGTAGAGAAAAGTTTACACCATCAATTTTTTAAAAAATTTTAATTTAATTTTTAAGTATGGGGCAATTATCTACCACGCTTAGATGCTTTGGGGCGTTTTCTTGCTCGGATTTAAAATAGGGGTCACTTAAGTGAAACTTCAGGTTATATAAGTTCAATTTAACCTTCTGTAAAGACACTAGTTTAAATTCAGTGATTTATGAGTCTCACCAAGTGAAGTGAATAGTGCATTCACGGTGAACCTCTCATATAGATTAGTTATATTCTCTTTTCCCTTAAATTGCTTTTTAGACGTTATACCTATGCTTCATATCACCTCTTACTATGTATGATAACTGGAAATAATTGTTTTCGTTTTGTGAGTAATGAAGGGAATACTCCTTTTATGGGTTTTTTAACACGACTGCTGCCGTTTATGCTAAGGGAAAAAATTAACATATTTTAGGTTCACGAAAATGGGGAAGTCTCATTAAAGCACACATTGACGGGTCATCAGAAACCTGTCCTGATGGTTGCCTGGAGTCCTGACGACCGCGAGCTTCTCACATGCGGAATGGAAGAAGTTGTCAGACGTTGGGATGTTGTTTCTGGAGATTGCCTCCATGTATATGAAAAAACTGGTCTTGGCTTGATCTCTTGTGGTTGGTTCCCAGATGGGAGACGGTTTTTTACTGGTGTTACAGACAAAAGCATTTGCTTGTGGGATCTGGATGGAAAAGAAGTTGAATCTTGGAAAGGGCAGAGAGCTATTAGGACTTCAGACATGGCTATCACTAAAGATGGGAAAAGGATTATAAGCATGTGTAAGGAATCTGCCATTCTTTTGCTTGATAGGGAAGCTAAGTTTGAAAAAGTGATTGAAGAGGAGCAAACAATTACTTCATTCTCGCTGTCAATAGATGATAAGTTTTTGCTAGTAAATCTTGTGAACCAGGAGATTCATCTCTGGAGCATTACTGATGATCCGCAGCTTGTTATGAGATACAAAGGTCACAAGCGCAGTAGGTTCGTGATAAGGTCATGTTTTGGAGGGTCTGATCAGGCTTTTATTGCCAGTGGAAGCGAAGATTCACAGGTATGGTTTGAAAGTAATTTATTTTATATTTCACCTGTTTGCTAAGAATTGATTAGTGATTGTCTTATGTAATGAAGTTGATTATCAGAAATGGCTACTGTAGAAATCATCCAGCAGAACCAATTGGTGACACTCTTCTTTGGTAATATGACGTTTATGATTTTAGTACATTATCAAATATTCACTTAGGAAAACTTCTTTATTAACATTTTCTTTTATGAGGCAATATAATGGTTAAATAAGGGCCGGTTTGGCAAGGGGCTAGTGGAGGGTTAAGAGGGTTTAACCCTCCTTAACTACCCAAATAACAAAAATTGCGAAAGGAATAGTGAGACTGCATGTGAGGTTTAAAGTTCATTTAACCCGTCTAACGATGGGTTAATAAAACTGCGTAATGAGACAGAGAATTTTGCTTCATCTCCTCTGCAGGGGGGTATGAAGAGTTAGTTTACGAATTAAAAACAATATCCTCACTTGCAATTTATAGTAACAAAATATTTCTATGTTATCTAAATAACAATCTTAGAATATCTATTGACAGGTATGGTTTGAAAGTAATTTATTTTATATTTCACCTGTTTGCTGAGAATTGATTAGTGATTGTTTTATGTAATGAAGTTGATTATCGGAAAAAGCTACTGTAGAAATCATCCAGCAGAACCAATTGGTGACACTCTTCTTTGGTAATATGACCTTTATGATTTTAGTACATTATCAAATATTCACTTAGGAAAACTTCTTTAGTAACATTTTCTTTTATAAGTCAATATAATGGTTAAAAAACAATAAGGCCCGGTTTGGCAAAGGGCTAATGGAGGGCTTAAGAGGGTTTAACCCTCCTTAACTACACAAATAGCAAAAATTGCGAAAGGAATAGTTAGACTGCATGTGAGGTTTAAAGTTCATTTAACCCGTCTAATGATGGGTTAATAAAACTGCGTAATGAGACGAGTAAAATTTTGCTCCATCTCCTCTGCAGGGGGTATGAAGAGTTAGTTTACGAATTAAAAACAATATCCTCAGTTGCTATCTATAGTTACAAAATATTTCTAAGTTATCTAAATAACAATCTTAGAATATCTATTGTAGATGTTCATTAGAGGGAAAGATATATGAATGGAGAGGTAATTTTCTTCTTTCCCATAAAACTTACCATAAGGTTTTCCATATATATGTAATGTAATATTACGATGAATCATTTATCCTTAGACTTGCTAAAGGTAGTTCTTTGGTGGGATGAGTATATGTCGGCTGGTAGTAAGCCATGGACAAAAAAATATCAAATTTTAGCTTATTTTGATTTCAGTACCAAATATAATTCCATATTGTTTTCAATAATTTCTACTTTTCAACATGGTCAACATTGGTAATTTTAAAAAATTAGAAGAATTAGTCTACCCAACTCTTATTTCATTGCCAAACACAAAAACATTAACTCTTCATGTTAACTATCTAATCCAAACGGAATTACATCTTTTTAATCCCTTATGATAGATTAACTAAGTTTACCCCTCTGTTTAACCCTTCTCGCTCAATCCCTTGCCAAACAACACCTAAAGACAGTAAAAAATTAAGGAAAATGTCGTTAGTTGCAGGTTTTGTTTTGTTATTCATGCAGCTAGGAATTTATTTTCATACAGCTGAAAGGTATCATCTTTTTCCTTATCTCTTTTGTTTTATTCTACAGTCCTCTCAAATGACTGCATATTAATGTATGAAAAATTACATTTTTTGAATCCTTTTATCACTGCTGCTTCAGTTCATGGGTGCTTATCTAGGATAATGCATATGCTGCATTTTAAAATTTTCGCTAAAAGACCAATTTGGTCCCTGCACATCTAGCAAATCCAAAGTAAATGTACTTTTTGTTGTAAACTGTATTTTTTAGGGCTATTGGGAAGTTTAGAAACCACATTTGAAGCTTTGTCTCTACTTATTTTGTATTGATGTCTCCTCCTATACATTTGTGTGTTTGCATGTGCCTTTCGTCATGTATGTGCATGTGTATGCCTGCCCTGCTTGGAGATGTTCTGGACTTGTGATCCAACTTACAGCATGGTTATAATTTTTGCCAAATTGCCGGCCAAGAAGTAAATAAAAAGAATGAAGAGCAGTAATGACTAATTGATTTAACGGATCTTATTCAATCTTGTCACTGTATTTTGCTCTCGTGTTTAGCGTTCAACATCTATTGTATTTTTCCTAATTCCTCCCATTCTGGCCTCTTTATCACATCCTCACTTGTAGTATATCTTGCTCTAGTATTTACCTTTTTCTTAATCCATCTATTGTACTCTGCTTTACTGTTTAGATTTTTTCTTAATTGACTTATTTGTGGTTTCGAGACTTGCGTATGCATTTGTTTGAAATTTGGATATTTTTGATTGCTTGATGTAGTTACTTTGATTATGTTTTCAGTGACAGTTTTTGCCTTCTTTTTAACAAGTATCAATTTCTCGGTTGCTTTATTAAATGCTAAAGATACTAGGTGCACATGCTTGTCCATACACATGCACATAAATAATACATATGTAGCTATTGGAATCTGAAATAATCTGGACTGAAATCTGGCACAATGTCTGGATACTTTACAGAGTGTTGGTTTTGTTTCGGAAAGAAAAAGTCTAAACCATTTTATCGAATGTACTGGATGTTAGTTAAGATGTCATATTGTTTTCATTTCTTAACTGATAGAAGTATATATAAATCTATCACCATTAAAAACGTTGAAGTTCAAATTTAACTAATTTCCCTCTCTTTTGACACCGAGTGATCTGTTATAACGCAGTTGTATATATGGCATCGGGCCACAGGTGATCTGATAGAAGCTCTACCAGGCCATGCTGGAGCAGTAAACTGCGTCAGCTGGAATCCGGCAAACCCCCACATGCTTGCATCAGCCAGCGATGACCACACAATACGAATCTGGGGTCTTAATGCCGTTAACAATAACAACAAACTGAAGCGTAAGGAAGCTTACAGCAATGGAGTTGTCCACCAGTGCAATGGGAATGGTAGATGTTAAGGGAAGTCACATTTTAGGGGGGAGGTGGTGTCTTAGGGAGTTGTCTTTGATTTAGTTCTCCATTGACTATGTAAATTCTCTCATCCTTTTTTTTTTTCTTCTCATTTCTGTAAGATGTTTTAAGATTGTTATATGCTTATAAACCATTCATCGTAGATTATTTGTTTGGTTCCTTCGTTCACAAGTTCCAGCCATGAATATGTTTTTGTTATGTAGATGCTCGTCCTTATAGTTGGATTTTGTTGGCCCGGGTAAAAAGAAGAAAAAGAAAACTCTTGGCGCAGACAAATATTTTTAGCGCGGTGATGCGGAAGGATAATTTATCCTACGTGAACGTGCTGCTTTGAGTTGTTGATGGTAGACAGCATCGATTATGAACATCCGCATCTGCTACCCTTCTCAGGGTTTTGAATTTTACTAACGAGCTTTGCAGCCAATTTGATTCAAAGCTCGGGGAGCTTCGCACACAATTTGATATAAAACTTTGTGAATCAGAGCTGAGAATGGTTAATAGAAACTTTATTAACAAAATACCTCTGCAGGTAAGAAAAAAGGACGAATTTTCAAAATAGTTCGCTTTAGGAATTTATTTCTAAAAAAATGACCAATTATAAATTTATTTGTTATTTTCGACCTAGTTAAAGACTAATTACACGTACTAACAAGAAAGTCAAATACTTCACGGGATTTTAAATCCCGTAAAGCTAAAACTTCAATGGATTTCAAATCCCATGAAGTTGCGGTGCTACTTCCAAAGAGCATGAGCTCTATAGCAAATGGGCCTGCAATTTCATGAGATTTGAAATCCCGTGAAGTTGTGTGATAGACCCACACTCAGGTCGGTATTTATTTCTCCCCTCTCATGTTCACGCCCCCCCTCCCCCTTCTCTCTCTCTCTCTCTCCCCCCCCCCCCCCCCCTTCTCTCTCTCTCTCTCTCTCTCTCTCTCTCTCTCTCTCTCTCTCTCTCTCTCTCTTCTCATTTACCCTAAACCCTAGATCCATCTCTCGTCGCCGCCACCGTTGCTACTGTCGTCGGCTATCTTCGCTCCCGCCACCGCCACTGCCGACCATATTCAGGGCTGAAAAGCGCTGGAGTTCACCGAAGCTCGTTGGATATCAAATTTAGGGTTGAAAAACGCTAGATGTGTACCACACCCACTAATAGATAATTACATCCCTAGTGCCATGATCGAGAGGGATTATATAATTTTTTAAACTAAATTAATTTGACAATTAATTTTTTATCAATATATTGTTTGCTAAGTTGTGTATATATTGATTAAATCGCAGATCCATGCTTTTGATGAGATTGAGGCTGATATATATAAATGAGCATATTAATGAAATTTAGGATCCAACAGTGTTAGAGATCTTCAATAGGATCAAACAAAGAATAGCTAATGTATTCCATAAAAATTATGTCGATTAGTTTGAAGGACGTGAGGACAAGTCACGCCAATTTGGTAAAGTGTATACACAAAGACGTAGGACAGGTCAAAGGGCGACATGTGATGATGGAGCCGACCCTTCTCAGTCTCATACACAACCGGATACTCAGATCATCGAGACTCATCAGTATGGACAGAGGGAGCGGGGACGAGGGTGAAGAGTGAGGGGAAGGGGTAAGAGAGGGAGAGGAAAAATGGGAGGACTTTTAGGATGTATGTGAAATTTACAATATGATTATAAATTTCAAGAATGTATATGGTTAGATTGTTCAAATTTGTTGCTTGTATGGATCTATTTTTATTTATATATGTGATTTTTGTGTGTATTGTTTTGATTTATGGTTGAATTTTATGAATATTGTTGTAATTCAGTATATATGAGCAAATTTGATGTTTATGGTTGGATTTTCATGTATATTATTGTGAATGAGACGAAAATTTCATTATATACAACAAGTTTTGGATTATGTGAAATTTACATGCTCATTAGGTGGAACATGCACACAGTTTGTGAATGTTCTTGGTGACCAACAGCTTCACGAGATTTCCAATCATGTGAAGTTACAAGCCCATTTGTCAAAGAGCTCACGCTATTTGGAAGTGACGCTTCCAACTTCATGGGATTTGAAATCTCATGAAATTTCAGCTTCACAGGAAATCCCGTGAAGATTTGGCTTTCTCATTGCCTTAGTCCAGACACCTATTTCTAGCTTAACTAGTCCTTAAACTCCACAGAATTTCAAATCTCGTAAAGTTTTCAAACTTTATTTGCCACTTTCGATCCAGTTTTAACCGGTTGGCTAAAACTTAGTGGAAAATGACAAATTAATTTCAAAAGGATTTTTTTAAAAAATAAATTCCTAAAGGGGTCTATTTTGAAAATTTGTGCTAAGACAAAATGGGGTCACAGATAACTTTGTTTACAGTTTACATGCCACACGCTTGCAAATATAAAAATCCCCACTCCATGTATGCAAGTACAATTCAGGTTTATGCGCTAACTTATTCAGAGGAAGTTTTCCTCAACCGATCTATCACGCCAGGCTCAACCTAGACATTAAGAAGCACTTCTTCAACCATCTGACGGGGCATTATCAAAGTTAATATTACATGTCATAAAATCAAGGAGCAGGGGAAGATTACTGTATATGTTAAGCCACCTAACAAGACTCAACAATTGAAGATGCATCATGAAATTATTGAAGATGCATCATGAACAATAAGAGCACCATACAGGAAATTATTGAAGATGCATCATGAAATGGAAATTGTAGTTCAACCAATGAACACGTGAGAGTTTCCAAGCTCCAAAGAGGCATCCAATGAGTTGAAACATAAAGGTAGTGAAATAAGCAAAATTGTCAAAGCAATTACATTACATAATATAGTGCAAATTGCAATTGTTCGCTAATGCAAAGAGTACAAAACAAATAACTAGTAGCCTAAATCCTCTCATTAAAACAGCTGATAATAACCCCACAAGAAAATTCCTACTTAGATCTCTGCCTCATCTTTCGGCGCTTCCTCTTAAGTCTCCTCATGCGCTTCTTCTTCCACTGCAGAATTAACAAAAGAGAAAAAAATGTAAGCAAAATTCAACATGAATGTATGCAACAGTCTAATAAAAGAGTAGTCCCCTGAAAAGTATAAAAACATATACTTTGCGAACACATTTTGCAGATGAACTCCAATTAAGAATTACAACATAAATGAGATTGCATCTTCTACGCAATAGTCTAGAAATACAGCAGTCCCATTGGAACTTGTATTTCAAAATTACTCAGACTATGAACTTATCTTCTCATTGGCACATTAGTACCTCCGAAGTCTGACATGCGATAATGTTCACAATTCATCATTGTACAATAAATAATAAATGCTGAAATCAAAGAGTAAATAAACATTTTAATTTTGATATCTTGCAGGGTCAGTTGATGGCAAGGGTAGAATCAGTCAAATACAATCAGAAACACAGACCAAGTAATTTCCTCATCACTGACACATATTTGATCAATATTAGACAACTAGTAGATCACTAAACTAGATAATAATAATTTCCTCATCACTGACACATATTTGATCAATATTAGACAACTAGTAGATCACTAAACTAGATAATAACTAAACAACATGGAAAATTAGATTTTTGATCAATATTAGACAACTAGTAGATCACTAAACTAGATAATAACTAAACAACATGGAAAATTAGATTAAAAAATTAGAACAAGTAGTTTTGAGATGTTCTGAACCTCCCTTTTTTTAATTTTACATCAGTCCCAAATGGTTACCATAGTACAGTAAACTCCTGAAATTAATAGATTAGGGGGTTCATTTTGGTATATTAAGATTTTGAGGGGAAGTAAGAAAAAAATATGGATCAAATAGGGCATATCCCTATTTTTAAAGGGTGTCACCGAAAACAGCTTAATATATTTCGAGTGTATATTAGAAAACTAAATATCTTGGGGCCTAACATAAAGTATTGGAAGAAATTACGATAAAAATCTTATAAAAATAAATATAAATGTAGGATCAGAGGTTGGTAAGAATATCAGTCCCTTGAGATCAGAAACACGGACCAATTAAGCTCCTCATCATCTCCAAACACCTTTCCAAGTTCTAAGCACTGATTAAATTTAGTACCATGAAATTAACTAAGTAGTTAAGTTATAGATCAAACAGAGCATAAATTTTTTGAAGTATGGAGATCATCAGAGACTTAAATACTCAGAATCATTAAAGAGGTTATCAACCATCATATTGTTGCAGTTTGTTTCTTCATCACTTGATCCCCGTTCTATTCTATACCCAAGAAATAATAAAAATGACTGCTTTCATCAAATTTTAGTATAACACACCGCATGAAGAGCAGACCATCTACGCTAATTTCGATAAAACCCTAAATCCAACAAAGATTTAAGGTGTTTGGAAATGAAAAGATCTAAAAGCGATGAAAAAATCTAACCTTAGCCCTCATCACGACGATCGATGTTCTTCTACCTCACGAACGCCGTCAAAAAAGATCTCAAAGGATGAACAATCTAGAGATGCCCTTGACTATTTATAGCGCTAGACTCCAGAATGAAACCCTAGCTTTAACTAAGCCGACAAGGGCAATAATGTCATTACTCTATCGGGATCAATTATGAAGCGTAATCTCAGCCTTCCATTGTACTGATTTGTCCTAATTGCCCTTATTTCTGGTAACGGGTCGGTAACGGGTCCAGTCTCAAAACTCTCACTTTAGATCAGATGGAGAGAGAGTTACAGCATGGACGGTCGAGATGAGGCCAACGAGGCCGGTGAACCTTCGGTGGCGGGAACTTCCGGCGTGCTTGAGTCCGGTGACCGCCCCGGCGGAGGTTGCGATGCGCTCGCAAAGGCGATCTCTTCGACCTTGGGGTCGGTGATTAAAGAGTTCGATTCGAGAGCGGAGGGCGCGATCCAGAGTCAGGACGAGCTCTCTCGATCCATTGATCGCCTCACCGGAGGTTATTTTGTTTCTCCCTTTGTTTGATTTACTTATCAAGATTTGTTCTTTTTCATGCGATTATAGGAACTGAGGTTTGTCGACCAGTAAATTAAGTGTTTTTTCATTCGAGATATTATCAAAATGCGATCTACGCTGGATAATTTCGATTCACCCTTCATTGTGATCGATGCTGGTTGTTCTATATATATATTTCTAATTCTGGTTTGAGAAAACTACAGTATGAATCACTGACTGATTTAGCTATATCTAGATAAAGATGATAGCTTTCGAATGAAAGCTTCAGTAATGTCCTCAGGCTAATAAGCATTTTCAACATGATTTACACATTTTTATGGCCTATTCACTCGTTATCTGTGTTTTTATAGAACTGGACAAATTATTGGAAGATGCACCCCTGCCATTCATTATGCAGCATGCAAAGAAGATCTCATCTATCCGCAGAAGAGTTTCATCTTTAAACTTGATCCTGAAGTCAATACAGAAGCGAATTGATAACATTGATCGAATACTTTCTAGAGGTGTATCATCAAATGGTAATGCTACATGCGCTTATCTTCAGTGTTATTACTTCTCATACGTTTCATCATGCATTATAAGCATTGCCTTAGATGATACTGCGGTTGCATAGTTAAAAAAAAGAAGTGTGTTTTTATCCCTCCATCGTTCAGTTTCATTTTTATAGCCCAGAAGTTTCATTCGCCACTGTTTTAAAAAGCCTCTGCTTAGTCCACCTAGGCATACGCCTAGGTCTAGACGGTATCTTGGTCGCCTAACTAGCACCTAGCGCCTAGGTGGTGCCTAGATTGCCCACCTAGGTTTTGGGAGTGTTTAGGAAGGTATTGTTTGCTTACGTGGACTACACTCTTTACTTCTTTAGATATTGATCGTGATTTTCTGTGTTGCAATCTCCACGTCCTCTAACCTCCTTCGAACTCCTTTAACCTCTAAATATGAACATCTCAACTACCTCCTCCGATCTTTAGCAAAACTTCCTCGACCACCACTTAAATAAAGAAAAAAAAATCTGCCTAGACACCAGCCTGACACCAATTTTTTTTATAACATTAATATTTACTATTAATTATTGTAATTAAAAAATAAAAAAGAAAATCTTCTAGACTCATGGTGACGGGTCCAACGCCTAGGCCTCCTAGCGCTTTCTATAACCTTGCTAGTTATTATTTTTGCTATTTAGCATTTAAGTATGCATGATTTATTATGGATCTAGGACTTTTTACAAATTTATATGAATTTAATACATATTTTTAATTATTATAATTAAATAATTTTAAAAATAACCAAACACCTAGGCGTACACCTAGGCGTCTAAGCGCTGGCTCAAATGCCTAGTTCGCCCAACACCTTCTGTAACATTGTCATTCGCTAGCACTTTTAAGTCCTAAATTTCTTAATGGTGTCACCAGGTTCTTTATGCTAAGTTGTTGTAAAACAACTTGCTTAAACTTCTACAGTTTTCTTTTGTACAGTGCTTAGCACTTCTAGCGAGCATCTCTTTTTCCCCCAAAACTGAATTTGTTGTTTATAGCTCATAAAAATCTCGAATGTTCAAGCATGCATATTTTATTGTCATTGGGGTCGAAATGAATGGAAATGGGCAATTATCACGTGTTAGAAGAGCATAAAAAAATATTTTTAAAGTAAGTTTTTCATTGTCATTGGGTCAAATGAATGAAAATGGAAAAAAATCATTAGTTATAAACTCTGAGTATTGTGAATTTTGCAATTTGCAATTTGTGTATTCATGAGCTACTATCTATGATTTTTATCCATTTTTGTTTGTTTCAACCCAATGACAATACACACTTGAAAATTTGCAATTTCCGTTGGGGTATAACCCACGTTTTTCCTCATTTTTGTTTGATTCAACAAATGGTAATGAAGTATGCGAACAACCAAGTTCCTGCTTTTTTGAGCTACAGCACGTGAATTTTTTTATGAGCTACAACACTTCAATTTTTTATGAGCTATAACACATGAATTTCGCTCATGAAAATCTCAAATTTTAAAGTATTTATATGCAATTGTCATTGGAATGATAAAATTTGTGGGTACAGCTAAAAAAATTGCAAATATGAAAATGAACATAGATAGACAAAAGTCATAGGTTGTAGCCCATGGAAAATGCATATTTTGAAGTAATTTTATTGTCATTGAGTCGAAATGAACGGATGCGGGCAAAATGGTTGGTTGTGAACTGTGAAATTGTGAATTTTAAAGTATGCATCTTAATTTTGGTCGGTATGAAAAAATGAACAAGTTTCGTGAGTTTATCTTAAGAAGATCATGAATTTTCAATGCTTTATTTATACTTAATTGTCTTCGGGTGCAGATAAATGAAAATGGAGAGAATTTGTAGGTTATAGGTTGTTAAAAAACATGAATTTTGATGTTCACATACTTCATTACCATTGGTAAAAAAATCAAATGAAAATAGGCAAAAATCGTGGGTGTTTAGCCTATGAAAATAGTGTACTTTAAAGTGTGCATACTTAATTATCATTGAATCAAAAACAAACCAAAATAGACAAAAATTATAGATTATGGCTAATGAAATCAAGAATATTGTAATACACGTACTATAGCCATCAGTTCAAAATAAACAAAAATAAGAAATTTCACTTATTTTATTGTTATTGGTTCAAACTGAACGAAAGTGGGCAAACCTGTTGGTCATAGATGTTAAAGATCATGAATTTGGAGATATGCATCCTTAATTTCTACTTGGTCGAAACGAAAAAAAGGGAATCATGAGTTATAGCTAATGAAAATCGCTAACTTTGAAGTACTTGTACTTAATTGTCATTGGCTTGAAAAAACAAAAATGTATAAAGTTCATGGGCCCTAGCTAATAAAAATCACGAATATTGAAGTATACACACTTAATTGTTATTGGATCGAAAGAAATAAAACTGGAGTTATGCATTATAACTCAAATGTCATTGGGTTAAAAAACCAAAATTGTACGAAGTTCATGGGTCATCGCTCATGGAAAACACGAATTTTGAACTGTAAATGATAAATCGCCATTGGGTCGAAATGGACAAAAGTGGGCAAATTCATTGGTTATAGATAGGGCTGTGCAAACGGTCGGTCGGTTCGGTTTTTATCAAATTTTGAACAATCGAGCCGAACTGCCCATTAGTCAAACTGAACCGAACTGTTGCAAGTCGGTTCGGTGCGGTTCTGTTCCTTTTGTTCGGTTCTAATAAAGATACATTTAAATGTTATAGACAAATTTATTCATGTCTATTATACAACCTTTTTCGTTTGTTTTATTCATAACTTATATAGGTACTAACATGTAAGGATTTTGAAAAAGAAATCACTGATCTAATCAAGATAAAGAGATAAAGATAGAGCCTTGGAAAGAACTAGCATGGAAAGAAATGAAAACAAATAGCATGGTGCCATCTCATTTAAAGTATGGAAAGAAATGACATTAGATGGTGTACATTGTACTCCTTTGAGGAACTTTACCTTTACTGATTTATCTGGAACTAGAACCTTGGTTCTGTTCCTATATTATCATCGTATATGTGAAATGTGTGTAATATAGATGCTTAGGTGGATGTTGCGAATGTAGAACTTAATTGTGAAGAAATAATAATATGCAATGTTTTTAAACTTTTCCCATTTATGAGTAGTTGTAAGTTCTAAATTCGTCATTTATGTTCTGTATCATGAATTTCTTCTTCTTCTAAAAACTTTTCTCGTGTTAGATTGTTCTGAGCTTGCCCTGGCTCTCATTTAGATATCCAGGACCTCTTTGCATCTGATGGACAGAAACTGACTTCCTCAATCCCCTTTCTTAAATATTTTCTCATGTTTGTCTTTGTTATATCAATTTGTGGTTGCTGCCAAATAACATTATTTTTTCCCTTTTGTAGAGAAAATACCTACAGATATCGTTTCAGTGTCGTCATTCACTTTGTAGAGAAGGTATTCCTCCTCTCTTTTTTTCCGAGTTTCAGTTCGATCTACTTTGCTTAGTTCCTTGCACCATTTCCTTTAGATGATATCCTTGATTATATTTTGAAGTATTGTTGGTCACCTGTAATTCCAAGAAAATGGATCAATATTCTTATTGAGTTTGACAAAATAGATAAAATGTGAAGAGAGATGAGAGGAAAATAGTTCACGGTCTTCTAACGGGTTTACCGTCAGGTTTTAAATATCGGATGTCGGGTTCATGTCGCTCGGCCAAAATTCATGTCGGATAGCGGAAATCGGGGATATATCGGGGGACATGAAAAAAATATCGGATTGCCATATCGGATAGGTTGATATAATATCATAAATGGAATCTTCACATACTTGATAATTATATTGTCTAAACATATGAAAAAGTACATATGAGAAGGTCTTCATTTTCACAAGCAACCACCAAGTTTTTTCTTTTGCATAGAAAATCAAATAGACACTAGAACAGCTTAACTGCATATGTTTAGACAATTCTTATTAAAGTATAATAATTATCCAGAATATAAAAATTACTAATACAATTCTTTATACACAACTTTATTTATTAATGTAAAGATTTATTAATTGTTCAATTTAAGAATTTATGTTATTATAAAAGTCACTTCATAATTTTACACTCAAAGAAAAAGATTACAAAAAAAAATGTTCACATACAAAGCGCGTGCATTATACTAGTAGGAACAAAAAAAAAATTCTACTGAAATTGAAAATTAAACTCGTAATTGCTATTCTAAACTACTTAACTGCATCGACTAACAATTGCAGGATTTTTATTATATATCTGTCATTTCTCCAAACAAGAAACTAGTAAAACCGAAGTATATGTGCACCTAATACAAATAAATTCATGTGTTCTTATAGCCTTCCATTATAAAGAAAACACATGCAATAACAAGTAATTAAAACCTACAACAAGCACCCATATGGGTAGTGGATGGGAAACAATGTGAAACTTTACATAAATAGAAGGTGAAAGATATTGCAAATCATATGATTTCAACATGTCAATGTGAAACCGATATTTCTGAATTTTGGCCGATATTTGATGGCCGAAATGTCGCCCGATATATCCGCTATTTTCCGACATGTCCCCGACATGACCTCAAAAACGCCATACGCATTAAATTCAACAATTTCGTGGCGGCTAGGCTCCGAATCCGCAATATCGGCCGTCATGTCCGACATGACGGCCGATATTTAAAACACAGGAGGGATTTAAAGATGGCTGGAACTTTATCATCTTCGAAAGAATACTCCTCCTGGAATCTCAGATTAGTTGCATGTGTCTTAGCCATCGATTGGCCTCTCTCAACTTTCTTCCTTTTGAGGAAGCGTTCGGCCTGCTCGTTGCGAATTTTTAACTCTTTCCATGTTTTGGATAACACGACCCCCATGGCTTCCAACACGTCAATGGAGAGATTATTGTAACGGGTTTGGAGAATGAATTCCTTCGTGATCGGATCTCGACAATTCAACGCCTTACTCCGGAAGAGTTTGACGAAGCTTTCGACTGACTCTCCGTCATTCTGCTTCTCATCGAAAAGTGTCCTAACCGATACCTCGGTGTCATCATCAAAGAAATTACCGAGAAACAGGTTCTCCATGTCGTCCCAGCTATTGATGCTTCCGACTTGAGACGGCAGTACCAATCGAAGGTTGCCCAACGAATGATGCTAACAAATGACCAGACCATCAAAGGTTTCAAATAACGGTCAAATTTAAATATATTTAAATATCCTAAATAATAAGAAAATTCATAAAAAATCTAAAAATTCAATTAGTTGTAAATTTCTTGTATTATCAATAAATAACAATTAATAAGCTTGTTGTATGAATGAAACTATGAAGAAATTCAAGAAATACAGCATCATAATATGTGTGATAGCGGGTTTAGCCGCTTTTAACAACAAAAATCCGCTTTTAACCGCGAAAATCCGTTTTTAACCGCGAAAATCCGCTTTTAACCGCGAAAACCCGCTTTTAACCCGCTAAAATCCGCTTTTACGCGCTATTCGAATGAATAGCGAATTTTCCCGCTTAAGCCAGCCGCGAAACCCCTACGCGTAGCGCTGAAGGGTCGCGACCGCTATTCGCGCCGCTATAGCCCCGCTATTGGCCGCTATTTACAACACTGAGGAGAACTTATGTCAACTTAAGTTGACAAGAGCCCTTTGTCCATCAAACTTTATATCCACTCATATATATATATAAAAAGTCACTTCATATCATGCAAGGATCCCTAGGAAATATCTAATGGTTAAGAAGTTTGGTGGATGTCAACTTAAGTTGACATAAGTTTCTCTCTCTCTCTCTCTCTCTCTCTCTCTATATATATATATATATATATATATATATATATATATATATATATATATATATATATATGTATGTATATATATATATATATATATATATATATATATAGCTTCGAGTCTTGCTTTGCCGTCACTGGGCTATTCATACTGCTTTGTGGATTATTTATGCTCATTAGCTATTTGTTTTCTACAAAACTGTCATTGGGTTGAATTAAATGAAAATAGGAAAAAAGTATTAAGTTACATATAGCTCGTAAAAAATATGAAACAAATGAAACATGAAAAAATAAAAATAAAATAAAAATCGTGTAATATATATAGCCCATGAAAATTGTGAATTTTGACGTACACATGCTTCATTGTCATGTGGTCGAAATGAACGAAAATGAGCAAAATTATTGTTATAAACCATGAAAATTGGGAATTTTGAAGTACGCATACTCAATTTCTATTTGGTCAAAACGGATAAATTTTGCTCATAAAAATCGTGAATTTTGAAGTACTTATATTTAATTGTTATTGGGGCGAAAAACAAAAATGATTTGATTTAAATTTGTGGGTTATAGCTCATAAAAATCGCAAATATCGAAATACGCATACTTCATTGCCATTGGTTAGAAACAAATGAAAATAAATAAAAATCATGTGTTATAATCCATGAAAAATACATATTTTTTTATACTTATTTTTCAGCGTTATTGGGTCAAAATGAACAAAAATGACAAAATTCTTGTCGGTAAACAATGCAAATTGTAAATTTTGAAGTATATGTGTCACGACCTGGGTCCTTAAGCCCGTTGGCGCATGCAAGCCGTGGGACGCACTGAGTGTAATACGTTGTTTGGCTTAAACCACTGTAAAAATCGACTAGCCAATGTTACACTTAGAGTCTTAGGCTTCACTATATAAACACCTTAATTTCTCACTCTCCCACTGATGCCGGTACTAAATGGAAGGTCACAGACACCCCACTAAATGGGATGTCACAATCACTCTACCTTATTAAGCCGACATTCTCATCGAGACATGACATCATACCACTATAGCCAGGCGATGTGGACTCTAGAGATGGCTCCTACGGGCTCTAAAGGTGGCTCCCACTGCGCTCGCAGTGTAGCACTTAGCCCTGTATAGCATAGCTCCACACTTACTACTAGCAAACTACTCTGATGCTATTTGTCACGCTCCAGGCCCACGGGCCCGTGGCGCGTGAAGCCGTTGGACCCACCTAGTGTAACGTGTCATCTGGCTCGATCACTGTCAAAATTGATTAGCCGGTGTTACACTTGAGTGTTAGGCTTCACTATATAAACACCTTAATTTTCACTCTCCCACCGATGTGGGACTAAATAGAAGGTCACAATCACCTCACTCAATGCGATGTCACAATATGCATCTTAATTTCCATTTGGTTGATGTGACAAAAATGAATAAATTTCATGAATTTTAGCTTAAGAAAATCGTGATGTTTGAACTATTTATACTTAATTGCCATTTGGTTGAATTTTAAATGAAAATGAAGAAAATTCGTGGGTTATAACTTATAAAAAAACACAAATTTTGATGTTTGCATACTTCATCACCACTGGTCAGATCGAATAAAAGTAGACAAAAATCGTGGGTTATGGTTAAAGTGTGCATAGTTAACTAACGTTGGATCGAAACAAACCAAATTGGACAAAAATTATAGATTATTATTCATGAACTCATGAATTTTAAAATAAGCATTCTTCGTAGCTATCTATTTGAAATAAACGAAAATGAGAAAACTCACACACTTCATTGCGATTGGGTTAAAACTAACGAAAATGAACAAAACTCATGGGTTATGGCTCATGGGAAACTCAAATTTTAATGTTAACATATTTTATTATTATCTATCAAATTGAATGAAAATATGAAAAAATCATGCTTTGTAGCCTATGAAAATCGTGAATTTTGGAGTGCACATACTTAATTTCCATTTGGTCAAAACAAATGAAAATGGATAAAAAACATGAATTATAGTTCATGAAATCATGAACATTGAAGAACGCATATTTCATTGTTATTGGTTCAAATGGGATGAGGCAAAATCATTGGTTATAGACTAAAAATCACGAATTTTAAAGTATACATAATAAATTTCAATTTTATCGAAATAAATAAAATGGCAAAATTCATAGGTTGTTTGTAGTGGTTGACAATTCGGATGATCCTTATGGTGAAAGGTTTTTAATAAATATTAAAAAGTATTAAAAGTTTATTGAGTATATTTACCCTGGTTTAGTGATTCTCACAACAATCTACTGACGTTTGGAGTAAATGAGGAATTAGTGAATAGTGACATAATATATGGGCAATTCTTCATAACTATCCAACTGTCGTTTATTGAGTATATACTCTTTAGTTTGAAAACCAGAAGCAGACAACAAAAATGAATCAACATTAGTTTAAAACTCAATATAGGTGATTATGTTCATAACAAAAATGAAATCCAAAACATAATACTACATAGGTAATTGTTCATAACCATCCAAACTCTCCTTTATTGAGCTGTACTTTTCAGTTTGAAAAATGAAATCAAATAGTAAAAATCATATCGTTGTGAGCATGGTGCCGTCTCATTTAAAATATGGAAAGAAATGACATTAGACAGTGTACAACATTGTACTCCTTTGAGGGCCTTTGCCTTTTACTGATTTATCTGGAACTAGAACCTTGGTTCTGTTTCCTATATTAGCATCGTATATGCGAAATGCTCGTATGTGTGAAATGTGCGTAATATAGATGCTCGGGTGGATGTTGCGAATGTAGTAACTCATTCGTGATGAAATAATGGTATGCAATATTTTAAAACTTTTTCCTATTAATTTATGAGTAGTAGTAAGTCCTAAATTCCCTCATTTATGTTCTGTATGATGATTTTCTTCTTCTTCTTCTAAAAACTTTTCTCGTGTTAGATCGCTCTAAGCTTGTCCTGCCTGTCATTTAGATGTCCAGGACCTCTCTTTGCATCTGATAGACAGAAACTGACTTTCTCAATCCTCTTTCCTAGATATTTTCGTGTTATATCGATTTGTGGTTGCTGCCAACATCACTTTCTTTTTTTCCCCTGCTTTTTGCCGAGAAAATACCTCCAGATAGCGTCTCGGTGTCATCGTTCACTTTACTGAGCAGGTATTCCTCCTCTCTATTTTTTTTCCCCAAAGTTTCAGTTCGATCAATATATATTGCTTAGCTCCTCGTTCCTTCTCCTCCTTTTGATGATATCCTTGACTAAATCTTAATATACTGTTGGCCACCTGTGCAACGACATACTGGTCCACTAGTAACAGTTCCTCGTCTACTCTGATTCGAAGGTGAAGGAAGCAGAAGTACTACAGTGTAAAAATAAAATAAAGGCTAAATAGCACTTAAATACCTTGTAGTTTTGCTTCTTTAGCACTTAGATATCCTCAGTTGTATTCCGTAACTTTTATATACCTTGGTTGGTCAAAATGGCACGTTAATATCCTATGTTTTGCAAACGTGAAAATTTTCATCCGAAAGTTATCATATAGCATTCATATGTTAGTTTTAGGCCTTTTTAACTATTACTATTTATTAAATTACTATTAAACCTACTCAAATTCTAATTTAAATGTATCATAGTCCTAATTCAAAAATAAAATTTGGAAAGATTTAATAGTGAATTCAACAAACTTAAGAGAGGAAAAG